ATATATATATATATATATTGTGATATTGCTCTTACGTGCACCAGAAGACAACCCTCAGCCAGCGCAAAGCCGTCAAGCAGTCCTCTTTAGGCATCGTGGCTGTGTGCAAGGAGCTTGAGCAGGCTGCGGCAGTACTGCTCGACAAGAAAATGGCCTGCACAGCATAGCACGCTCGAACCCTGCAACTTGCCGAAAGATGCAGGAGATTTCGCAACCTTGCAAACCTTGTCATGAAACAGAATTTAAACAGGCCTGCGAGTTGCATGGTCTGTCTGGAAGGTCCGATGCCAGCGGGCCAAGTACCATAGCTCTTCTGAGCTAAGCTTTGCTAGCTACCAGTAGTACACTTCCCTCAGGATCTAGTCCGTGCGCCTTGCGCGACATATCACATGGGACAAAGGATCACAGTTACCACATGCTTACTTTTCAATCAGCAGCCCATCTTCTGGCACCAAGCATAAAGCCAACGGGATGCCGGCATTTGCATGTTGTGGAGTATTCCCCCTCCAAGCCTCCAAAGTGCTCCACTCACGGTAAAAGATGGGGGGGAGTTCTTTTTGACGAAGGCGGCGAGACGTGGGCACGGCGGCCATCGACAGATAGCCAAGTGGAGCTCTATTGTCGCCGGCTGTTGCGCTTTGGCCAGCAACTAGAACGTTTTGCTACTGTTGAGGTTCATAGAGACTAGGACCTCTTGCCACCAAACCCAAATTGGATCGGTGGAAAAGGGCCCGCCGACAGAGTAGGCCCCACAGGGAAAGCAAGCATCCAAGACGAGCCGAGACCAGGAGAGAGAAGGCCTGATCAGCGACAAGCTGGATCCCAGGTGTCACGCTGGCAAGGTGCCAGCAAAAGCCGGCGCCAAACCAACCCAGCAAGAAGGCACAACACCGACAGGTTGAAGGAGACATCCTCGAACCAAGCCGAAAGAGAAGAGCCGAGTCGAGCAAGAGCACAGAGGCAGCAAAGCAACAAAGCAAATGCGACCTCACGCCCAGCAAATGAGGTAGGAAAGTAGTGTGTCGGTGATCGCCCCTGAGCCACCGATGCGATTCTTAGGCACCGAGCACTACCTCCTTGAGGCCTGCCTGCAACACGGGTACCCCTACGGGAGAGGGGACTGCAACCCCGACGAACCCTAGTGGGTGCAGGTGGCGGTCGGGAAACTCCAACAGAGACATCCGACAAAGCACATGGGGTCCCAAAGGAAAGGTCACAGCACAAGGGACGGTCCCTTGAAAGGCGAGGGCCACCGCCGATGCAATTCAGAGGCATCAGGGCAGCCATGGAGGACAAAGTCCAAATGAGTGGGTGGCTCGGAACAGGAAGAAAGACAACCTGGTGCGAACTAATCATGCAGGCAATACTGGAAGCCGAATGAAGGCTCCTGAAGAGATTAAGAGGCTGAACCCAGCAACAGCCACGGCCGGCTGTTGCCGGCCCGTTGAACCGGCTCCACGCTTTGGCCAGCAACTAAACCGTTTCGCTACTGTTGAGGTAAATGCCTAGCACACAGACTCATGCAAGAAACAACGCGTGTTTCATGTGCACCTAAAGCTGCTGGCCACATGGCTTTGCCGAACAGCGACATCAGCCGATGTCGCAACTTCTGACTCATGCCGTTGTGCATCTTTAGCAACCTGTCACTGTCAGACGATATTCCACCTCTAAGTAGGACCAAGTCGTCACGAAACTAAGCATTGTGCCACATAGGTACTCAGGAGAGCGGCGAGGCGGAGGTGAAGAAACCTGTCTGAAAAACTGCGGGCCGAAGTGGTTCCACAGTCCACCCTGCTTCCTGAAGCCTTGCTTGCAGGAAAAGCTCGGGTAAACAAGCTTGATTGCTCATCTTTTCAAGTCATTACGGAAATCACTGCGAAGACCACATCGTCCAGGCAATTCGCTGCGCAGGTGCTCCTCAGAAGAGCAAAGGGTGCTTTCGCACTCTCTTCTAGCCTTGAAAGGAGATCACCCTGAAAGAGCAGATGATACAATATGTATGTATAATATATACATAGAAAGGAGCCACAACCTCTCTCAAAATCCTTCCAGCCGAACTGGAACCGCCCGCAACCCACATGGAGCCCACCTCTGGCCAAGGAAGCCCTCCAAACGGTGCAGCAGGAGGTTTTGCAAACCACGGTTGAAGGCATCAATGTCTGCAATCTTGCTGAGAACTAGCTCCTCGTCACGTGTTTGGCTTGAGGCTAAGTTTTGCAATTTGGGGCAAAGCATGTGGGACTTTGCACGGACAAATATAAACCCGACACCCCCCACACCCCTAAGCTCTGCAAACACTATAATCCCTACATACCGCTATATACCCGTACTGTAGCCTCGTGTCCTTGTCAGCTGGGAATGATGCCTGCGACTGACGTACGTTCAGCTTGAGGATCTTTTCCAAGCAGCGACGTTGCGAAGCCGCGGAGTGAAGCTTGATTGATTGTGTCAGCTTCCTTATATAATTGCGATCTCGTGCACTTACGTTACATATACATACATACCTACAACATCCTATAACCACTTACGTACTGATACGCATACATACTCGTTTTTCTCGCTTTTCGGGCACAGAGGTCCGTAGGGCGGACGCAGCCCGTGTTAGGGTGAAACAGCAAACGGGACGAATCGCCGTCTTCATGACGTAAACCAGCAAAGTCCGACCCTCGCACGCAGCAGACGTCGTGCACAATTAGCAGCAATCGCGCGCACACACCATCGTTTGTATCAGGCACAACGACGAGGGAAGGAACACAGAGCGACAGCAGGCGTGGGAACAACCGAATCAAGTCCCCGGCAAACCCAGCCGAAATGAAGGCGGATTTGTGACATCGCGAGGGTCAAGCAGCTACAGTTCAGGACCACAAGTCACAAGGACAAAGTTGGTTTTTTCGAACGGGCTCTCAAAGAAAGAGGGGGAGACAGTTAAACAGTGAGACTCTAAGCG